GTCTGTACCAGCAACTGTCACCGTCTTACACCACTTGCTCACCGCGTGCCTGCACCTGTGCAAAATACTTCCCACGCAGCATCTCCTCCGAACTTTCGACTGCGAGAGTTAACCTAGGGGAGGATCCAGCAGGGGTTGGGGGCTTGCTGGGCCAGGCTGGGCTCTGGGGAGCGCCTAATGGTTGCACTGTGTACGTCCCCTGCCCTCTGCAGGTCATCAAGGAGACCACGCAGGAGCACAAGGATGTGAAGTAACACAGGACCCCCTGGTGGCCCCTGCCCCCACAAGGCGGGGGCCTGTAGCACACAGCAGGGGAGCTGCTCCCCGCCTGTTAACTAATCTCCCAGACCGCACACCTACCCTCCCCATCTCTATGCTTCTTTGCCAGCTTCCGCCTCAGGCCCCATCCGCATTAGGCATGCCAGACGGCACCCGTGGGCACCCAGCCGCACCAACTACTGGCATGAATGCTGGGAGCTGCCTGTCCTGTACTCACCCACTCCCAAGGGGCACACCTGCAGGGCCTGGCCAGCAGCTCGGGTTTGGATTGGGGTCAGGGGAGAAGGGGGGCATGGCCAGCAGCTTGGCTTAGAATTGGGAGGGAGAGGAGATGTGGGGGGGAGCAGGGGGACCTGATAAAGCACCCTTCATATCCCCAATACTTGTTGTTATGGCAACTGTTGCCAGAGCTGGTCTCAGCAGCGTGTGTCTGGGAACTGGGTCTCTGAGAGTCCTCCGGCGGCTGGAGGAAAACCGTGACTCCGGGATGGGAAGGGTGGGGGGAGGCCCCGCAGGCCAGGAAGCCTGGGCCAGAGGCTGCTGCTTCCAGTTGGCCCTGGCCAGCCTGAGAGAAGTGGGCTTGTCCTATCACTTGGCATGGTCACCAGACAGAGTTCCCAGGCTGCCCAGGTCTCAGAGAGGCTCCACTGAGCCACCTTCCAGGGAACCAACTGCTGGGATCCTGAGGTGCGGAGGTGGGGGGCCGGGGAAGAGCATTTGGGGATGTGAGTGTAAGTGAAGAGGGAGGGGGCGTTGGGAGTTGAGAGGGCCTGCCTGGCTCTAGGTGTGGGCACAGAGAGACCTAGCCTAGCCTGCCCCTCCCGCCCCCCATGCAGGCTGGAGGGAATGCTGATCAGGATGGTGGGGGCTGTGGGTGGCACTTGGCCTCTGGGTCATGGGAATCAAGAAGTGACGTGTCTTGAAGATGCTGCTGAACGGGGCGAGACACGGGGGCCAGCTTCGTCCCACTTCCCCTGGCATCCGTCCCTCTGCAGCCAAGGCTGCTCTGAAGCCACACTGCACCACACCACATCTGCCCCCTTCCCGGCGATGGCTGCTTTCCCCCAAGGGGCTCCTGTGGCTTGCTCTCTCACACACGCTCTAGGCAGCACTCTGTCTTAGAGCCGTGAACTTGGAGAGCAGCCGCTCCGGGCACATGCTGCCACCCTCAGCACCTACTCTGCTTTCCCAGGAAGACCGCGGTAGGAACACAAATGTTCCTCAGCCCGAGAAGGCCTTCTCCAGGCTCCCCGTCCCCGCTTTAAGGCCACAGGTGGGGGGCCCTTCGCTGTTTCCCAAGCTGGCTGCCCTCTCCCCACAACTCTCCTGGCACCTGCTGCTAGCCTTCAGAGCACTGCCGCTGCCATTAGTCAAGGAGGAAAAATAAAGACAAAGGTCGTTGTGGCCATCCCTGGAGTGGACTCGCATCTGTCGGGCAGGGGCGGGGCTGGGCAAGAACCTAGCCTCAGTCAGGCCCCAACTGGCTCATCACTCATCATCTCGGGGACTCCCCCTGACACACACAGACCACAGAGCCATGTGACCAAGCCCACCTCTGACCCTGCCCTGCTGAGGTAGCGGTGGAGCCCCCCGACCTACTGCCCCCCCCTCCCATCTCTTCTCACCCCCAGCCCCTAGCCTGGGGCCAGCCTTTCAGTCAAGCTCTGCATTTGATCCCTGTCTCCCCTGGGCAGCTAGATGCCATCTCGTAGGACCCAGTCGGTGGCAGAGGGGCTGTGTGCCAGTCGGTTTTCGATGGCTGAGCTTCTCGAAGTACATCCCCAGGCCTCTCTCTCTAAGGTGCCTCTGGGGGGGCCATGGCCCCCAGCCTGACAGTTCATGGCTGAGGCTGTTATCCCTGTATCTGTCCCTCGGTTCTCCGACCCTCCCTTTCCACTTTCCAGCCCAGGGCGAAGCTGGACAGGGAGCCAAAGGGGGCGCAGCTAGGACTGCCCCGCTTCTTCCTTTCTTAGCTGTCCCCGATCCACTCGGTGCCTACTGAGCAATCCTCAGAGATGAGAAAGTACCTCACAGATGGTCCAACACTCGGCCTAGGCCATGTGAAAAGCACTGGGCTCATTTCTTCTCTGATCTGTGATGTCAGAAAACCTCTGCACCCCAGCTACCTCCAGCCTGACTGGCGGCGTCCCCACATCCGGGGCCAGGCCCCCGAGCTCCCTGTGAAAATGGGACCGGGCCAGGATGTAGCAAGCAGTTGTGTCCGCGGCGCTTCCCCACGTGTCCCTTGCCCGCGATGTCCACGCAGAGGCACCTGGTGTGATGGCACAAAGATGTCTTAGCACAGCTGGGCTTCCGAGCGGGGGACGAGAGAGCCTAGGGGGAGAGGTTGGGGCAACAGCGAAAAAAGTAACAGCAGCAGCGACAGAGGTGAACCGTGGCGAAGGTGGCTGTGATGAGGGCATAGCCCAGCAGGATGAGTTGCAGGACAGCGCGAGTCTCGGGGTCTGAGAAGGAGGCGTGGTAGTGCCCTCGGGTCTTCACAGCCAGCCGGAACCCGGCGACCCGCACCCCCTGGCGCCAGCAGTAATAGATGCCCCGGTCACTCAGCTGGGTGAAGCGGATGTGCAGCTGGTTGCCGTGGTCAATGAACACCCGCATGGACCTGTTGACATCCTTCAGGTACTGTGTGCGGTACAGCTGCTGGCGGTCCTTGTCCCAGGCCACGGCATGCTCTGGCCGGGCGCCAGGGCAGGAGATGAGGAGCCCGTGGCCCAGCATCTGCTGGTGGAACTGGATGGGCACCTGGGGCACCCAGGGCCGGCGGCCCGCCTTGGACACGTAGTTGAAGATGGCCAGTAGGCCCAGGTGGACCGTCTGCCTCCTCTCGCAGGACACCAGGCAGCTGCGAACCAGCAGCTCGGGCGTGTGGTGCTTGGCCCTGGCTCGTAGCTTCCGGGGCACCGCCTGCGAGCCACAGGACACCGCGTTGGGCAGCGTCTGGCGGTAGCGTGGGGAGAGGTCTGGGCTCTGGAGATAGCAGAGGCCAATCCGCCACTGCTCCCCACGCACCCCGCAGCGGTCACAGGGGGTCCACTCCCAGAAGGTGGTGAAAACACGGAGATCCCCATGGTACTCATCTTCAAAGGGCTCCTGGCCCTCGTCCCTGAAGCTGGCCACCATGCCCTCACTACTCTGGATGTCCACATCGTAGGCGTAAAAGTAGTCCCCCTTGCGGGTGCCGCAGAAGTACAGGCCCGAGTCCTCGGGCTGGGCCCGGAAAACCAGCAGACTGAACATCCGGATGCTGAAGCGGGCCAGCATGTCACTGCCTACACGCACATGCGCCGCTGCCTCAGTCAGCACCCGCCCGTCGAAGTCCGTCAGCACTTGGGTGTGGGTGCTGCCGAGGTGTTTCTGATGGTACCAGACCACAGCCAGCACCTCCTCAGGCTTACAGTGGCAGGGGAGCTCAAAGCTCATGTCGGTCAGGTAGGCTGCGTTGTCAAACATCAGGAAAGCTGGGCAGGGGGTTTTCTGAAAGATGTTCTCCTTCTCCACAATCTCAAAGGTCAGGAGACTGCCCCAGGCCCACAGGAGCACAGTGGCGTGGGCCAGGCTCATGCCTGCGAGAGAAGGGGCAGCAGAGAAGAGCAGCAGAGCAAAACCGAGGCCTTGAAGGCCCTGGGGACCCCTGAAATTCACTTCTGGGAGTGGAGCCCCCAAGGAGAAGATCCAACAGCCAAGTAGCAGTCTGCGGAGGAAGCTGGCTGAGCAAGGCCAGTTATTCCCAGTTGATGTATAAGATGTCCTACGGGTGTGTTCCAGACTTGGTCTCCTGGAAAACCATTCTAGAACCTGGCCCTCACTTCCCTTTCTAGAACACTGGCACTCACCCAAGAATGGCTGAGGGGAAACTGGAATGAGAAGCAAGGGCCAGGTGCTAGGACGGGCAATCTCTGCCTCCCTGCCCCAGGCCCTGGGCCAGCTTCCCTTCTGCCAACCCAGGAGACGGAGGAAGCCCGTACGCCCGCACATCTGACCATAGGAAGAAGGAAGGGCTCCCAGGCCTGAGCTCGCAGCCTTGGGCTTTCCCAGAACCAGCCTGCACTGGAACTGCTACATCCCAGATGCAGTAGCATTCGATCACCTGGTGGTTGGGGCTTGGGTTGTAGATGTGATGTTGAAATCTGGGTCGATCGGTACTGAATCCCCCCGGGAGATGCCCCGCTGTATTTCTACCTCTGTTGCATGGAGGGTGTAATTGTCTCCTCATTGGGTTGGGCACACACCCCTCTCAGGGCCAGAGGGCTAGAGGTTAGGCAAGCTTGAAGGGTGCCATCTCAAGGTGGGAAGCGAAACTGCTTCCAAAGGGAACCCCCAAAGGACTGGCAGAGGGGAGGAGACACTGTTCCTGCTTTTGTTCTGAACATTCCAAGTTGGGAAGCCAATCAAGTGTGGCTTCCCATCGCTCTGCAGTGCCCTGAAGATAACAGCAAATGATGCCTCCAGTGGCCCCTGGGGGCTTCAGGGGGCAGCTGGTCCTATCAGTCCACCTGGTACAGTTCTAGTAACTCCTGCAGGAGCTTCTCCTGGGGCCCAGCAGACTGCTCCTCCAGATCCCGCTCCTCCGGTTGGAGCCCCTCTGTTGTGGGTCTGGGGGCGCTCATGGCCTGTAGCTTCTGAAACAAGGCTCGGCAGCTCTCCCTCTCTGTTCTGCTCAGCAGGCTCAGGTTCAAGCGGAATCGCCCAGTGCTAGCTAGGCTGCGAAGGATTCCCAGAACGGCCACCCGGTCGGCCAGCCTCACATGATCGGCCAGTGCCACCAGCAGCTCCCCTAGAAGTCCAAAGCCCACGTCCATCCGGAAGAGGTGGCCCAGCTTTGGGCCCCCGAGCTGCAGCAGGACCTGGTAGCGCTCTGGGCCACTTCGCAAGTGTCGCCGCCAGTCGCGGTAGAACTCTGCTGAGGTCTCGGGCTGCAAGAGTGGCTTCGCCTAGATCACAGGGGAAGAAGGAAAGGGGTCCCAGAGCTCGCTCAATCCCTCCAGCTACTTTGGGACAGTGAGGGACGGCAGGGGGCCGTTTCATCTTAGCTTGGTCCTGCTCTCTGAATACTGGGGAGGCTCCTGTGGGCCTCCCTTTCAGATGGGGCACTGGGGCTGGGCCAGGGCCAGAGGGCCCTAAGGAACACTAAGCCATGATTTGAGATTCTCAAGGTGAAGGTCATGGACCTGACTGGTGGAGTGCCCCTCTGACAGGGCAGTTTACCGTGTCCATAGGCCATCAGACTGCATGTACTGTGTCGAGTAGACTGTGTCCATGGGGCATTAAACTTTACCCAGTACAGCTGGAGGAGAAGAAACCCACACCTCTTCTGGGAATCGAAGTGAAAACTGGCTGAAGGGGGTCTGTCCAGCCCACCCTTCTGACTTGACCAGCCCTGCTCACTGAGCCTCATCAGTCGCTGGCTGCTTTGCTTTCTAAGATCAGAGCCCGGAAGCTCCGTGAGAAATAAGGTGGAGGTAGAGTTGTGAGAAGACAAGTTTGGAAGTTGAGGGCAGAGGACTGGTGGGCGACAGAGGCTGGGCCTTACCCACCTGGAAGATTTCAGTGGCCTGATCCTGGGAGGTGCTTCCCTGGGAAGTGTAACAGTTCCAAGGTCTGGCTCTCTTCCCCTCCATCTTGTCCTTCCGCTCCAGCGGTTTCAGATGCGAAGCAAGGACAATACCCCTGGGGGCAAAGGGTAGAGGTGGAGGGTGAGCTTTTGTGCTTCTATAAATTCAGGCTGTGTCTGTCCACAAGCTGTTGTGGATTGGATTGTGTCTCTCAAAATACGTGTTGGAATCTTCCCCCTCTTACTCCTGGAGGTGCTCCTGTCTGGAAGTACGCGATGTGCAGTTATGTGCACGGGCCAGACCAGTGTAGAGTGTGTCCAAAACCCAATCACATCTCAGTTATAAAAAGAGCAGATCGGACACCGCAGCAGGTACACGTTGGGAAGACAGGCGTGGCCACGTGAGGGTCACCAAGGAACCAAGGAAGGCAATCAACCCAGACAGACTCTGGTTTGGTCTTTTAATTTCTGCCCATGAAAGCCACCCATGTATGTGTTCTGCTACAGCAGCAGTAGGAACCTAGACACAAGTCAAGATGACAAAAATAATCAGTTCACAGGCCTCGGCCATGTCTTCTGTACTTAATCACTACAACTGCTCTCGTTGTATATGTGAAAACCTGAGGCTCAGAGAGGTTAAGTCGTCTGTACAAGATCACACAGCAAAAGAGGTGGTGAGGTCAGATCTGGGGCCCAGAATTGTCTCACTCCAGAGCCCTTGCCTTTATCCGCTATAGTCCACCCAAACGGAAAAGGCAGTGAGCCCAACCTGAACTCCTCATAAGAAGCCACCCTCTGCTCCACCGCCCGCAGCTTGGCAGCATTCTCCCGCTTGTACTTCTCATCCGCAGCGAGTGCACCTTGCAGCTCTTTCTCCAAAGACTTGAAGTCAATGATGTCATTCCTTTCCATGGTTTGTGCCTGAGAAGGCGGAGGGAGTGAACATCAGTCAATATCAAAGGGAAACTCTGGATCCTTTGCCAGTCCCAACCCCCCAAAGCTGACTATCTAGGGGGGTTACTTTACAGAGGGAAGCTGAGTGGCACAGTGGGCAGTTGCACAAGACCTCTTCTCCCTGAAAAATAGACTAAGGGGCTATTTCAGTATGGAGCCCTATGTTAATTTTGGGGGTGCTTTGGATCTCAGGATTCAGTTCCTTCATCTGTCACCCATTGTTGGGTGACAAAAGCTGAACTCGCGGGTAAAATCCCAGCCTGCATTAAACGTCCTTAATGGGGAAGCGTATTTTTCCACCCAAACCAGACACAACGACTTAGCAGGAAATCAAGAAGAGGACGTGGCTCAATGGTACCTGTCCACAAAGCCCTCTGTCCAGCCTAGGGCTGGGGCTGTGGTCTCTTTTTAGTCCCACCGCTAGGATTCTGCAGCCTCTTGGTATCGGAGCCTGATCAACCCTTTCTTACAGGCAGGTTTTGCATATAGGCTCGAGTCTGAGTTTTTGTTTGTTTCGGCTGCAAGACCTATCTGTTTCGGCTGCAAGACCTAGTGGCTTAGGCTACATTTTGTGGCGGAGTCACGAACAGCCTCAGGGCAGGGAACCAGGTCGGCGTCCAACCCCTCTAGCACCCCAGTCCCAACGCGGGGGAGTCAAACGCCTACGAGGAGAGGCGTTAGGCCGGGTCTAGGAGCTGAACTCGGGCGTCCTGGCTCCCGCGATTTCTAGTCCCTCTCCAGTAAGTGAGCAGGTAGAACAACTAACCCTTCCGCCGCGGCCCCCCGCCCCCCAGCGCCAATTCAGACACCGTGCCCTTCACCCCAGCACTTCGGGTCTCAGACACTTTGTTTTCTTTGGGGAAACCCCTGAAACACCGGGCCAAGAGAGCAACCCGACGCAGCTGAACTTCCAGCGGCGGCGGTTGCCTAGCAACGATCACACCAGCCCGTCCACGTGATCTTCCCGAAGGCCCTCTTTTCGGAGTGTCTCCGAGCCGCCTGATCAGATTCTAATTTTTTCAAGCCATACTCTCCTTTGGGACAGCCAGAGCCCTAGCGCTGGGACCCCTCACTCCACCTTTCCGTTTCCTGGTCTACGGCAAGCACCTCCCGAGCGGCTCGCAGGCAGAGGCTGTCCTCCCAGGCGGCACCGCGACCGCGGCGTCCGGGGTCCTTCCGGACGCGCGACGGCGACGGCGCGGCGCGCGGCGACGGCAGGAAGCGCGGTCTTCGGTCGCGGACGCGGGGCTCCAGGCTGAGCGGCGGGAGGTGAGCGGGAGAGTCGCTCCGGGTGGGATGGGAAATTGAAGAGCCGTCGGATAGGAAAGAGCCGCGCTGTGCTGTCTGCCCCCCATCTTTCCTGTCCCGACGGGGAAATGGAGGCCTGGAGCGGAAAGGGGAGCTAGCCAAAGAGCCCTCCTGCATTGCCTGGATAGGCTCTCTCTGTAAAAGCTCTTAAGGGGTCTCACGTCCACGGTCTAGTCCCTTTCCTTCCTTCTTTCTTTCTTGTTTTTTCCCAGCTGGGTCGCCTTCATCTCTGGTTTTTTGTTGGGCTCCAGCGTGGGACTCAGCGAGAAGCCGTTGAGAACTGGCAGCAAAAGCCATTCACCAGCTTTGTGCGCCTGTGAGTGTCAGCTAGCTTTGTGCCTTGGTGGAGTCGTTCATTCATTCATTCAGTAAAGATGTACTGTTTTTGTTCTAAGTCAATAAAAGGCTTTGCTTCAGTTGTGGTTGGGGAGTCACACAGTGACAGTACTTAGTAAGGGTAATTGCCGTTCATAGACGTTAAGTAGATGCCGGTGAAGTCGCAGAGGTTGGTGGCAGCGTTGCTGGTCATCATGGAGTCCGTTTCAACCCCCGGTGACCCTACGCGTGCAGAGTAGAAGACCACAGGGTTTCCCAGGCTGGCCTTTCAGAAGCAGATCTCCAGGCTCCCCTGGGTTGGTTTGAGCTGCCTCACTTGCAGCCAAATGGTAGTCAAATGCTCAACATTTGTGCCGCCCAGAAACTAGTGTAAAGGAACCTTAAAAACAAAACAAAAACCCCTCCGCCAAACTCACTGCTCTTTAGTCGTTTCCAAGTCATAGACCTTATAGATCAGAAGATTTCAGGTCTTTATGGGAGTAGAAAACCTCATCTTTCTCCCTCAGCGCAGCTGGTAGTTTTGAACTGCTGACCTGCGGTTAGCAGGCCAATGCATAACCCACTGTGCCTCTAGAGGCCCTTAAAGGAACCATAAACAATATAAATGAATGAGTGTGGGGATGTGCCAATGAAGCTTTATTTGTAGACATTATAATGTTGCGGTGTATTTAGTAATTTTCCTATATAATTAAAGTTTCCCCAACTCTATAAACTGTTAAGAAGCTTTAGTTCTTGGCTGATACAAAGACATACAGTGGCCATCTTTGGTCTGTGGGTCTAGTGTTCTGAATCTGGCACTAAAATATTAGGGGTTGGGAATGCCGTGTTTTGGCAGTTTACTCTCAAGTAAATTAGGAAAGAGGATGTTTTGTATTAGTACCTGAAATTCTTTTTTTAGATTCGTTTAAAATAAAAGTTTCCTTTCACATAAAAAAATAAAACGAGGGAAGGCTATGTAAACAAAGAAGATGACCGGGAAATGAGCCTCGTATAGGACTTTGAGGGCAGCACTCAGGAGGCCAGTGTACCTGGATAGGAGGGCTGTGAAGGCATATGGTCAGCTATGCAGGTGAGGCTGCGTTGTGGGGCACCTTGACTGCCTTGCCCGCATCTAACCCTTCTCTCCTTCCATTTTAGCATCATGGATACTGACTTGTATGATGAATTTGGGAATTACATTGGACCAGAGCTTGATTCTGATGAAGAGGATGATGAATTGGGCAGAGAAGCCAAAGATCTTGATGAGGTAATGAAAATATATTGCCATTTTTATCTCTCTCTTTTAAAAATCAAAAGGGGGGGGGCAATAACAAAATACAGAAGCCTTTGAACTCTCATAATACCCTGTGTACATTTCTATTAACTATAATGATTTATTTGGGACTTATACTGCCCCTAAGACAATTTAGCGATGGCAGCTCAGAAATGAAATAAAGTTTCATCATCGAGGTCCCCTTGTAATCTGAGCTTTAGAAGAGTCTCCTTTACCTGACCTGCCTTTTGACGGTTAGGAACAGTGGCACCGCAGGAAAGCAAAGTCCACATTTCCCAAAGACACCATAGGTGCCTTGTATGTTTTAGCAATATTTGGAACAAGATAAGCAAGAAGGCAAGACGTGGGTGGGCCCACAGCTGAGCAGTGAAGATGTGATGTTCACAAACGGAAGTAGAAAAGTAGAATCCAAGTCCTGGCTGCCTCTGTCTTCTCCAGCCAGAGAATGCCCTTCGTACCCCCCACAAAAAAATAACCCTGGAAAAAGGAAATCCAAGCCATCCCTGGGAGGTAAAAGAGCATCTTGCGGTCTTGTTGTCTGGGGTACTGTTATGCCCGCCTTGTGCAGGAAGAGTAGGACACATGCCCTGCCCGGTATCCTTGGCTGTAATCTTAACAGAGGGAGCCTCCTGGCTTTTCTCCTGCGGGCTCCTGGGTGGGTTTGAACTGCTAACTTTTCTGTTAACAGCCAAGCGCTTACCAGTGTGTGCCACTCTTGTGCACTTGAGTCTCTAGGCTCAGAGGATTATAGAACTAGAGCCGGGGCAGGGGTGGGGAAAGACCTTGCAGAAGTGAACTGAGAAATTGGGGCGAGCAAGCAGGATCAGAGGCTGGATCAGGAAACTCTTGTTGGGAAAGAGCAGTAAAGTGCTGCCTTTGAGAAGCTACAGGCTAACCTACATGAGAAGGAAAGGGCAGCGTTGCCCAGGGATAACGCTCAGCAGCAGGAGGGAGGAGAGAAGGGCAAAGGGGAGTGGCAAACCGGGGGAGGTGAGAAGAGTGCAGCTGCATTGGCATTGTGGGCAGTCACAACACAAAGCGTGTGAGAATTATTGAATGGAAAAGCAGCCTGGTCTGGAAACTACGATCCATGTTTTGTTTTGTTTTTTAAATCCAAAAGCTACAGAGTAGCACAAAATTTCAAAAAACACTCAGCATCATCGAGGCACTGCTGACTCCTGGCAATCCTCTGGGATATAATTGAACTGCCCCTGTGGGTTTCTGAGACTGTAACTCTTTACGGGATTGAAAGCCTCATCCTTCTCCTGGGGAGTGGATGTTGGTTCGAACTGCTAACCTTGTGGTTAGCAGCCCAACGTGTAACCCACTGTGCCACCAGGGCTCTAGTAAGCATGATGCAAATCCATGGTAATCTTAGGACAGACATTTTCAGACATGACTGTGGAACGCTTAGCAGTGATGGTTTGTTTTGCCTTTTCATTTGGTATTGTTGGCTGGTACACATTTAATGAAAATTTTCTCTTGTGGATGTAGATGGAGGTAGAGGTCAGGGATTTGTTGTGGACATGTGGTATCTTTATTTGGGCAAAGCTTTTGAAGAGTCTTTTATGGAAAACTTTCAACCAGCTTTTCTTAACAAAATATATCTTATATACTTTAAAAAAATTATTTCTCATTGCACAAGTAGCTTATAAGTGCATCCTTTTTGAACAGTATTTGTATTTATCTCAGGTCTGCCGAGGTTCCGGGTTCCGCTCTCTTTCTCATGGAGAGTACTGCATGCCTGATGCCCTTGCAGCAGGCACATGGGCTGGGTCATTGTACAATTAGGGGGCCACAGCTAACAAGGAGATGCAGAGAGTATTGATTAGTGAATCATTTCCAGAGCTCTTATGACATGCCCCAGGCATCTGGTGGCCTTGCCCTTTTCAACCTTTTATCAGTGGTTTGGGTAAAGATAGGAAAACATCTATAAAACTTACATGTGACGTTAAAAACAGAACAGAAACCTGAAGTCATTGCTATCAAATTGATTCTACATCAACAATGCAATACAGCGAACCCTCGTTTATTGCGGTTAATCGGTTCT